TATCAATGTCGTTGGAGGCGGCCGACTCTGCGCCGACAAACGACGGTAGTGAAGGTGCATTGGAGTGCACTCCACCATCAATGGACTCGGCTACGGACGCTGCTATCGTCGAAGCCACGAAAGAGTCAAATGCCGTCGACCAATCCACGGTGGAAAACGGCGGTGCTGCTGTGCCTACCGAGCTGTCGACAGATGTCGCGGGGCGTGAGCCACCAATGCGTGACGACGATCCAACAGAGTCGATGCTGGCTGCCGACGCAACATCCGATGCGAGCAATGTGCCTGCAGTTACCATTCCATGTGTGTCCATGGACAATCTCGGCAGCTCGCATGAGGTCGATGACGGTACACGGACCGACAAAACCGACGCGACCGAGCGCATGGCAACCACAGCAGTTGCTGTTCCCAGCGCGCGTGGCAGTGACAACGGAGACGACGACATGTACGAAGAAGCGTTTGACAATTCGGCGCGCTCCACAAATGACGGAGCATCTACGACGGTCGACACCAAAGTGCCGTCGGACGCTACGGCGTCACCGATGACGGATCGTGACGCGCCTCTTCAGATTGCGCCGACCTCGTCACGGTCGGTGACGACAACCAAAAACGCCGTCGACTCGGGCCCCACCGACACGGATGCGATCGAAGACAGCTACAGTGACGAAGATGACGACGAAGCTCTGCCGGAGAACGCTGTCGGTGCATCTCGCAGTACCACAGCGCGGTACAGTGGCGACGCGTCAACACCTCGAGCGAACGACAGTGCTCTGGACGCCAGGCCACCAATTCCGCTGACCAGTGAACCAACGCTCGGTAACGATGGAACGTCAAACGCGAATTCAGCACGAGACGCGCTGCCGACAGCTTTCGACAATCAAGGGCTCTCGGCGCGGTATAGTGACGACGGCGAGTTCGATCAAGAACATTGGCAAACGACGGCAGTGGCAAGGCCGTAGCGATTAGCGAGTTCGGCGCGCCATCCGCCTCTACCCCACTGGTCGAGGAAGAGGACGAAGCCATCAACCAACTTGCCGACGTCGTGGCGTCGTCGGACGCAGCGTTGCTGGGCAACGCCGATTCTGTACCAATCCATGAGGCAACGTCGAGGAGTGAACCGCCGGCGCTGGACGAACCTCTAATGACAGCGGCCGTGGCCGACGTCGATGCGGGCAACGATGCACGCGACGACGCGTCCTTCGGCTATGACGACGAGCTGTCACCAAGCGGTGATCCATTAGCCAAGCTCGACACCGTGTCGACCCAAGACACCGTTGCAGCAGCACCAATAGCACGACCAGCGGATGCGATCGTTCCAGATACGACCGACTTGAACGACGGCAAGGACACCGGGCGTTACAGCAGCGCGAGTCCTCGCGCCGAGTCGCCTTCCAAAGCAGAGAGCGTGGTGGCGTCGCCACGCGCTTCTCCGCCGACGGACACCGGCGACACCAGGGCCGATGGTGTCGTTGCAGTTGCAAGCGACTTGGCATCGGGCGTCGATGCACCACTGCCGGAAGACCGCCGAGGACCTGATGCTACTGTAACACTGCAACCCGTGGAGCCAGCGACCTCTGGAGATGCGACAGACACGGAGGCCGTCGATGTCACGTCCCCGTCGGCGGCGCTCGAGGTGGCTGCCAGCGTTGATAGCGACGAGGTGTACGAAGACGACGACCCTTACGAAAACGATCTGGACACGGGTCGATACAGCAGCGTCAGTGCTGACACGACCCCGGCCGAAGCGCCCGTCACCGTACTGGACAAGACAACTGTCAGTAGCAACGATCCGTTGTCGGTGCCATCGGGTGCGCCGCCGACCAACGCCGACGCAACGGCGTACGACGATGACACATCGTTGTACGGTGACGGCGAAGCTTTTCCGCCGGTAGCTACGAGCGCGTTGGCAGCCCCGTCGACGGGCGCCAACGTCCCACCACCCATGCCAACACCCATGGAGAACACCGAGGTGGACGAGACAGTCAACGACACGAACACGGGCCGCTACAGTGACTCGGACCCAGAGTCGAAAGTTGCGACCTTGGCAACGATCGAGCCGACGTCCATGACAGCGCCCGAGGCAAAGGCAGTTCCTCCGCTTCCGCTGGAGCGTGCTGCCGGCGACGACAACACGCCTCGGTACAGTGACGACGGCAGTGCTCGCGCCGACGCAGTGTCTCCACGCACCGTCGACCCGGTGGCTTCCAGTGGCCAGCTACCAAAACTCGACAACCCTTTCGAAGAGTACTCTCAAACCACAGCCCGGTATAGTGACGACGGTGCGCCGGTGGAGCCGATGCCGAGTCTGCCGCTGGCGTCCAATGCCGTCACGAACGACCCGTTTGATAGTTTGTTTACACCGCCGGGCGACCACGGCCAGCCGTCACTCGCCAAGCGCGGGAGCGTCTCGTCCGTTCTGTCATTGGACGCCTCGCCGCTGCCGTCCGACCGGTCGTATGACAACGACTTTGACGATCCTGCCGAGCTACTCGCACCGGTAGTATCCGCGACTCTCTCTCTCTTTCACATCTCACCACACCTGGTGGGTAGGACGCAACACTGCTGCACGCCGAGTCGAGTTATAGCTTGGACGAGTTTGACGCCTAGTCGACTAGTATAGAACTATGTATCCCTTGTCGCTACGCCGTATCAAAGAGCGCGGGCAGCTGCTTCTTGTTGATTTTGCCCATGGCATTCTTCGGAATGGCCGGCACGAGATGGACGACGCGGGGTCGCTTGTAGCTGGCGAGGCGTGCCGAGAGAAAGGCGTCGAGGGGCGGCGACAAACTGGCCACGTCTACATCCATGCACCCACAGACGTCCCTCGCTATCTGCAACGCGAGCCAATGTACCTGAAATAGCGTCGGACGGGCGCGCGACGAGCGTCACAATCTGGCCCCACGTGTCGTCCGCAACCCCGTAAACGGCGCACTCCATGATCTGCGGGTGCTCCATCACCGCTTGCTCGACATCGAGCGCTGAAATCTTGTACC